TCTTATAGAATGGCATAGCAGACTCAATGGGCCAGATGGCCTACTCCTGCTCCTATTTTTAATGTTCTTATGTAAGAGCAGGAATAGATCAGAGACATTCATCGGGGATAGTAGGAACTGCCGATGCTGGAGTCTGAGATAACGAGGTGTAGAGCTGGATGAACACAGCAGGCCAGGCAGCATCAGAGGAGCAGGAAAGCATTCATCAGTTATGTTTTGGGATGAACTGGACTCGAAATCCTAGACGAACAGGAAACCTTTTAGGAAAACCAACCAACTCAAGAAGGAAATTCTATAGAGGAGGCTATTATCATTCTGAGGCAGAAGGAAACAGGAAAGGAACTGACCAATGTCAGACAGTTGATAAGCGCTAGGATAGTATGTAAATATTAATGTTAAAAAAAATTGTATGTAAGTAACAATGTAATGATTAGTCTTGGAATGGAGAGATATTGTTCCAGGTCTGACCGGATTAATATCTGTAAGGATGTGATAAGGTTCCTCCACACAGTCACATGCACAATCTCACAGAGAGATAAAGGGCTGAATCTTACCAGAAATTGACTATGTGTCATTTTCATCAAGTTCCATAAAAGGTTTCTCTACATTGGCCTCGCAGGTTTTCTCATGCTTTTGTCCCAACCCGGCCTCATTAACTCGCACCACTTCCATACGGCACCCTGCTTGGCCCAGATTAGTCTGATTGTCCCATTACCATTGGCAGAAGGACTCAACATGGCAGGGACATCCTGGGATTCCTGGGGCCACATCATCTTCAAAAGACTGTTGTGCACAAGCTGAGATATTGGTGCTGGGTGTCCCAGATGGACATCTGTTAATGCGTAGGGGAAAGAACATAAGAACATAAGAACTAGGAGCAGGAGTAGGCTGTCTGGCCCTTCGAGCCTGCTCCACCATTCAATAAGATCATGGCTGATCTTTTCATGGACTCAGATCCACTTACCCGCGTTCTCACCGTATCCCTTAATTCCTTTATTGTTCAAAAAAAAATCTACCTTTTTTTTAAAAACGTTTACTGAAGTAGTGTCAACTACTTCACTGGGCAAGGAATTCCATAGATTAACAACCCTCTGGGTGAAGAAATTCCTTCCCAATTCAGTCCTAAATCTGCTCCCTCTAATCTTGAGGCTATGCCCTCTTGTCCTAGCTTCACCTGCCAGTGGAAACATCCTCTCTACTTCCATCTTATCTATTCCCTTCGTAATTTTATATGTTTCTATAAGATCCCCCCTCAATCTTCTGAATTCCAATGAATATAATCCCAATCTACTCAGTCTCTCCTCATAAGCCAACCCCCTCAACTCCGGAATCAACCTGGTGAACCTCCTTTGCACTCCCTCCAGTGCCAGTACATCCTTCCTCAAGTAAGGAGACCAAAACTGCACACAGTACTCCAGGTGTGGCCTCACCAGCACATCCAATAAGAAAGGTGTTGAGGTGTCCTGAGGGAGTGAGTATATGGAGGTCCTGAGTGAGTGAATGGAGGTCCAGAGGAGCCACCAGAAGGTGGAGTTACAAGGTTCCTACTCAAATGTTCACATTGACAATGTTGTATGTCTAGTTTCTCTCCAGCAGGTGGGAGAATGGGATGCTGCATATTAATGATGCAAGATGCCGTGGGGCGGTACAGTAACTCAGTGGTTAGCGCTGCTGCCTCACAGCATCAGAGACCCGGATTCTATTCCAACCTCAGGTGACTGTCTGTGTGGAGTTTGCACATTCTCCCCGTGTCTGCATGGGTTTCCTTCAGGTGCTCTGGTTTCCTACTACAGTCCAAAGATGTGCAGTGTAGGTGGATTGGCCATGCTAAATTGCTCACAGTGTCCAGGGATGTGTAGATTAGGGGGATGAGTCTGGGTGGGATGCCCTGAGGGTCAGTGTGGACCTGTTGGGCTGAAAGGCCTGTTCCCACACTGTAGGGATTCTATGATGATTAGGCAGTGACAGGTACTGATCATGAGCAATAATCCCCATTAGTCGGCCTCTCGCTGCTCACCTGTGGGAATCTTTCTTCCGTGTCTGGGAAAATGCAACTTTTTGATCTTGATGTTGAGAAGGGCCTTCCTCGGGATTACTCTCAATTTTCCCAAACTTCTCACCACACCCACATCATTCAGGACCTGGGATAATATCACCCATTGAGACTTTCTAGGGAGGGACCTGGAAGTTCTGTAAATAGTGCATGAAACAACTTGTTGTTTACTTCGTCTGACTCTTCCAATCTCTATAAGCTAAAACAAAGAGGCGAATACTACTGACACACCACACTCCACTCCTGGCAGACATTAGTGGTCACAACAGCTAAGTGTCTCTGGCATGTTGACGGGTAGATTTATTAATCAAGTTATTTTAATAACCAGTATTTTAATTTTTCTTGTAGAATATTTCGGCTTATGCCTTTGCCCCATGTGAAAGTGTCACTCTTAATTTGGCCTATGTCAATACTTTTATTCATGCATTTTCTTTCCTGGTTATTGCCTGAACATTGTTATGACATTCATTGCTGCTGACTGCAAGCTCCAGGTTATTCTACTTTGAGATTGAATTGGGCTGTCAAGGAGGAGCGGTTGAGGACTTTGGGTCTGTACTTGACGGAGTTTAGAAGGATGGGGGGGGATCTGATTGAAACTTACAGAATACTGAGTTACCTGGATAAAGTGGATATAGAGAGGATGTTTCCGATAGATAGATAGACAGATAGATAAGTAGACAGATAGAAAGCAAGAAAGAAATTTATTGTTATTTGTGTTTGTGAAAAAATGGTAAAATTTGTATAAATTGCTGCAAATAGGACTAGGACTAGGACCTGAGGGCACAGCCTCAGAGTGAAGGAATGACCCTTTAGAACTGAGGTGTGAAGAATTTTCTTCAGCCAGAAATGGTTTATCTGTGGAACTGATCGCCGCATAAGGCTATAGATGCCAAGCCATTCAGTGTATTTAAGACAGAGATAGATAGGTTCTTGATTGGTAAGGGGATCAAGGGTTACGGGGAGAAGGCAGGAGAACGGGGTAGAGAAACATATCAGCCATGATCGAATGGTGGAGCTGACCTGATGAGCCAAATGATCTAATTCTGCTCCTGCATTTTATAGATTTTCTCTGTTCATGGTGAGTGAAAAGTAAAATACATTGGAATCTGTGTGGTAACAGTGAATGGTCTGTAGGATGGGGACAAACAAGGAAAGCTCACCAACCCGAACTGTTAATCCATTTTCCTCTCTTTAGAAATGCTGCCTTGGGGCTCTTGGGGCACAGTGGTAGCGGCCCTACCTCTGAGCTAGAGGGGACCTGGACTCAAGTCTTACCTGCTCTAGAGGTTAGTCATAACTCTTCTGAGAAGGTTGATGTAAAACATCTGCTGCCTGGTGTGAGCAGTTCCAGTATTTTGTATAAGATAACACAGTGTGGAGCTGGAGGAACACAGCAGGCCAGGCAGTATCGGAGGACAAGGAAAGCTGACATTTCAGTTCTGGACCCTTCTTCAGAAATAGGGGAGGCAAAGGGGACCCTGAAATAAGTAGAGAGGGGGGTGGTTGGGCTGGAGAGGATAGGTGGGATGGTGATAGGTGAGTGCAGATAGGTAGTGGTGGGGATTGGTCAGTGAGGTGGGAGGAACAGATAGGTGGGAGAGAAGACGTACAGGTCAAGGAGGCAGGGATGAGAGGGAGGGTTGGTCTTGGGATTATGCCGGGGGTGGGAAGATTTTGAAGCTTGTAAAGTCCACAATGACACCATTGGGTTGTAGGCTCCCAAGGCGGAATATGAGGTGCTGTTCCTCCAGTTTCCAGGTGGCATCGTTGTGACACTGGAGGAGGCCCAGGATGGACATGTCGTCCAGGGGGTGGGAGGGGGAGTTGAAGTGGTTTGCGCCTAGGAGATGTTGTCGTTTGTCACCAGCATGTTGTCGTTTACTTTTCAGATTTCCAGCATCTATTGTAATTTATATTTGGATAAGGAAGGTTTTGGCCCGTTTAAATCTGCCTAATGGGGGCTTTGAAGTAGACGTGTTTTGGTTAATTTGAATTCTGTATGGTGCAACTTGAATGAGAGACAGTTTGTCCGATTCCAATTCTACGAAGAGAATTCAATGGGAAGAGGTTAGGCTTTGTTCACCTCAAACAGTGTGGGTGATGCTCAGTGTTGGTAATGCTCAGTGTGGGTAATGCTCAGTGTGGGTGATGCTCAGTGATAGTAATGCTCACTGTGGGTAATGCTCAGTGTGGGT